GCTATCAAGAGAGTGAAAAAGCAACCCATGGAATGGGAGAAAACATTTGTAAATTACATAGCTGATGACAAATTGTTAACCAGAATATATAAAGAATTCCTACAATTTAAGAAAAGCAACAACAAAACAAATAACCTGATTGAAAATAGACAAAGAACTTGAATACACATTTCTGCAAAGAAGATATATAAGTGGACAAAAAGCATATGAAAAGATGCTCAGCATCACTACACATTAGAAAAAATGCAAAGCACAAGAAGATACTGCTTTACACACATTTGAATGGCTATTATCAAAAAGAATAAAATAAGAGAGAGAGAGAGAGAGAGAGAGAGAGAGAGAGAGAGAGAGCAAGCGCAGAAAAGAACTGTTGGCCAGAATGTGGAGAAACTAAAATACATGTGCGACACTGGTGGGAATATGAAATGATGCAGCCACTGTGTAAAATGGTATGGCAATTCCACAAAAAATTAAATGTAAAATTATCATACCATCCAGCAATTCTACTTTGGGGTATATACCCAAAAGAAGTGAAAGCAGAGGCTCAAAGAGATACTGGTGCACCCATATTCATAGCAGCATTATACACAATAGCCAAAAGATGGAAGGAACCCAAATGACCACTGATGAGTGAATGGATAAACAAAATGTGGTATATATGTGCAATGGAAAATTCGACATATGCTACAACTTAGAAGAAACTTGAAAACATTGTGTGAAGTGAAATAAGTACATCACAAAAGGACAAATGTATATTTCTTCTTGTATGATGTAATGAGTATTCAAGTTCATAGAAAAATGCAGAAAACTGTACTTGAACAACAATTAAAATTTAAAAGTTTAAAAAATTTAAAAATTTTTAAAATAAAAAAAGAAAAGGAAAGTAGAACAGTGGTAACCAGGAGCTATGGGAGGAGATGGAGTGGGGAGTTATTGTTTAATGGGTACAGAGATGGGGAAGATGAAAAAGCTCTGGAGATAAATAGTGGTGATAGTTGCATAACTATATGAACATGTTTAATGCCACAGAAGTGCACACTTAAAAATGCTACATTTTGTTATGTATATATATTTAACACAATAAAAAAGAAAAAAATAACTAAGAAACTGTATTTTTATTTACAGCTAAAACTGTGTAATGGATGCTGTGCAAAGCTGCCCAGATGCCACACTCAGAACTGGGGTCATACTCTCCCAGATGCTGTGATGCTCTCAGCTATTAGTTTCTGCAAAGTGCCCTTGGCTATCGAGGTCAGGTTCCATTCCCAGGACTGCTTAAATCCAATGACTCTTCAATGTGAGGACATTGTGACCAGTTTCACAGCTTCCAAGGGGCTAATGGAGGTTTTGTTGTACCTGCATTGCAGCTCAACATCACCTTCTTTCCAAACTTTATTTTTTAAGGGTTTTTTTTTAGTAAGTGCTTTCAACCATTGAAAACCCCCTTAAAACCCACTTCCTTAAAAACCCTCTGAAAAATAAAAGAAAGAATTAAGGAAAGCAAGGAAAGAAGGAAGAGAGGGAGGGATGGAGGGAGGGAGGGAGGAAGGATAAAAAAAAGCATTCCTTTCTCGATTCTTTACTTCCGCCTGCCAGAAAAACTGTCATAACAAATTATATACATATATGATGAAAGGGACTTGAAAGGCACCCCTTCAAGCTGTGTAGTGCACAACCTGCATAAAGAAGCAGTAGTTCTTAGTTGACCCTGTCTCATTCTTCTGCTTTGGAGATCCCCAGCACCATTCAGCAGGGTTGGTTGATGAGTGTCCACCTATCTTTAACCAGTATCTGAGCCAGCCTTGAACAGGAAGAGCAGTATGTCAGTTTCCTCAGCCCCACAATGCAGTAGACCTCAGCAGTCATTTCTGGTGTCAATGAGATCTGGGATGTGAGAGGCTAGGAGGGAGCTCTGAGGACTCCCTAGAGTCTTTCACTCTTTAGCTCTGTGGTCTTGACATTGCCTTCTGGTCCTACCACTTTCATGGATCATGCTCAGCTCTTTGGGCAGATCTCTGCATCCCTGTCTCTCCTAATCCCAGGTCATTGTCTCTTGCTTTAACTTAAGCTTCTGTGTTTTCCTGAATGCATTTTGATTGAGTCAAATGTGAAATAAAGTTCCTGGGATATCTGTGAGTTCTGGGATCAGGCCTTGTGTCTCCTTTTCAACACCAACAGGAAAGAAACCCTAAGTGGGGGGAAATATCAGTGAGCGTACTTTTGACTATGTTCATTTTTCAAGTAGTCTAAATTAGACCATAAGGTTGTAGGGAGTTTACTGATATAATTTACTTTACAGTCTAATAATAAAACCCTCATATTAAAAGAGAAGAGAAAAAGAAAACCTTGCAAGCCTCCTTGCCCTTCAAGCTTGCCTTTCTGTCCTTGTCATTATCACACTACTCTGAACTGACCTCACTGCCTCTCAAAAAAGTGGTGTAACCCTCTTTTTCTCTTCCCTGGCCAAGCTACTCCTTTGTTCCTGTGACTGTGATGTTTTCCTTCCACCAGTCCATGGAAGGCTGCTCTCTCAGAGGCCACTAATGGCTTTTCGACACTCAATTCCAAGAAAGTTGAAAATCATCATTTTATTTGACCATTTCAAAACTTTCTTCTTCTTTAGATTTGGTCATTATAATGTTTCATTTCTCTTTCTATCTCTTTGACTGTATTTTCACTATTGCTCTGGCAATTCCTTTGGCCCAAAGCTTAAATAATGATGTTCTCTGGAGTCCCCTCTACTGACTGTCTGTCCTACGCACATCTTCACTTGGATGTCCCTCAAACATCTCAAAATTAGTATGAAGAGAGAGAGAGAGATGAAATTCAGTTGTGCTGAAGTGAGAGAGGATTTCCACACCTGCCTACATTGAAAAGCCAAAAATAGAGATATTTGTGGAGAAAAATAGTGAGAAATTTTTTAGGTTTGGAGAGGAAAGTGTGTTTCTCACTCTTGGTAAAAATTAGAAATAGGTTAGAAAAACAAAGTTACAAATATTTTGGATATCCCAACCTTCCCTTTTCTCCTTTCCTCAGTCCTGTTGTGTATGTTTTTTCTGGCTATTAACACCTCTTCTTTAGGAAAGAATCTAATACTTATTCACATAAGTTTTAAAGCTTATTATGATAATTTTACACATCAGCAGAAGCTTATATCTGAAGCCAGTAATACTTAAATACATTGAAAAAAATCTGTATAATCCAGTGTACCCAGTACAGGGCTAAACAAAACATAGTAGTATTCAATAAATGTTTATTGAAAGATGTTTAAAAAGCATTAATTGTATTATGAAACTCTGGAAACAATCTTAAATATCCAACAATGGGAGACCATAACCATTGATATAAAAATATTATATATCTATGAAAAGATTTCAAAAACCTTTTTAATGGCCTTGGGGAAATGCTTATAATGAAATGTCAGGGAAATAAATAGGATTCAAATTGCTACTATACTGTCAATTACAAAAAAAATCATACACATATACAAAATACAGAAAATCTATGGGTATCTCTGGAATCTGTGGGATTTGGAATCTTCTTTCTATTTCTCTGTATTTATCATTTATAATTGATAAATGTGATAAGTATTACAAAAGTAAATATTATGAAAGATTGATTTATCAGGAGATATACTCTTCACGGGTTGCGCAGTTGGAAGTCTACAGTGTACTAGTGTGACCTGCTGGACTTGGACAGGCGGTCCCAGCCTCTGCAGTAATGGACAGTAACGGAGGCTGACTGGCAGGACAGCAGAATGTGTGTGTGGTTTTTTTTAAAGATTTTATTTATTTATTTTTAGAGAGGGAAGGGAGGGAGGGAGAGAGAGAGAGAGAGAGAGAGAGAGAGAGAGAGAAACATGCTGGGGGTTATGGCCTGCAACCCAGGAATGTACCCTGGCTGGGAATCGAACCTGGGACACTTTGGTTCCCAACCCGCACTCAATCCACTGAGCTACGCCAGCCAGGAATAGAATGTGTGTTTTTAAAGAGAGGTACAGCAGTGGAGAGCCTGTCCTTTAAAGAAAAAGTGAGTACATGGTAATGTTGATGCAATGGTGCCTGGAAGGTGGGCACCCTTCTCTAGGGAGGCTTCACTCTGCTAGGCTGTTAGGCTCAGCCTGAAGAACAATTTGAGCTGGGGCTTCTCCCTCACCTGTTGTTCTTTAAACACTCAAGCCTTGCTCAAGTGTTCAAACATGTTTATATTTTCACTCTGCTTCTCCACTCATTCTCTTCTGTTCAAAATACAGCTGTAAGATTCACTGAAACCCTTTGTGTTGGTATCTTGGTGATATTCTATGTTAATATTTTTAAGAACTGAGGTTGTGTGCCTTGTAGGAAAATAACATCATGCCTATACCATAAAACCTACACAAAAGGTTTGGTGATCTTCATGAAGAGACCACAGATTTCAACATTTACAAACAAACATTTTCCTTCCTTTATTTCTGGAAATTCCTTCTAAATATCTGTGTTTTCTTCTAATGTAAGTTGCTTCCCACCTCTTTCCCCTGAGCTCTGTTGCCTCTCTGTGGGAGAGCAAACTTCGTAGCTAGTACAAACAAGCAAACAAAACCTAAACAAAACGTTGCAACAGCAATACCTATCCCTCTCCTAATTTCTAATTTTGTGTACTTACAAACAAAATTAAGTCCTTTGCTTGTGTTTCAAGGATCTTTGGATCTGAGAGATTCGACAACTTCGAAAAATCTAACAAAACATACAGGTTTGTTTTTATTAGTTGCTAGTTATTAAAATATCCAACCTTCTGATTAAGGAAGGCTGGATGACAGGAGAGACTGCGGAGGCGTAGGGGAGAACTGTGGAAAAAAATCCCAGTTCTGCTCATAAGACTGCGTATGAAAGAGCCCGCTTCCTTCTGCAGGTTGCTCCAGGCCGCGTTTTGCAGGCGGCCGCATCTGCCTCCCCTGTCTCTTACCTCCTTGATGTTCGGCACTATTTGTGGCCAGCGTGGTGGAAGGACACAGTGAGGTTCTCACCCCCGCCCTCCGCCCCCCGCTCCCATCCCCGGTTCCATCAAAGCGAACCCAGGCCAGCGCAAGGATCTTCGAGTTGCGAGTGTGCTGAGGCTGGGACTGTCACTCATTCTCCGCTCAGCGCGTGAACGCAGCTCGGCAGCGGCTGGCAGGAAACAATTCTGCAAAAATAATCATACTCAGCCTGGCAATTGTCTGCCCCTAGGTCTGTTCCTCTAACGCCGTCCATACTCGCTATAAGGTGGGGCACAGAATTTACCGCGGCAAGAACATCCCTCCCAGCCAGCAGATTACAATGCTGCAAACTAAGGATCTCATCTGGACTTTGTTTTTCCTGGGAACTGCAGGTACATTTAAAAAATTCTTCTTCTCAATTTGATTTGCTAATTGCCTTCTTCTCCCTACTACCCCCCTTAGGAACACTGATATTTCGGTGGTTTTACGGAGAATGCTAAGGGTGATCATTTTTCGTGGAGCTGAGGAAGGAGCGCGTCGCCCTAGCCGTCCGGATCCCGCACCCTCCAGGGCTGCCTCCCGGTGCAACGAGCTTCCAGCGCCCAGCCAGCGCGCCCGCCCTTCCCACTTAGTGTGCCCGGGAACTGTGATCGGAGCCGCCTGCTCTCAGAGACGCTAGTGGCTGTGCAGTGATGGGTAGCGCTACTTCCCCGAAGGCGGGCGGCGCGGATGGCGAGGCTCGGAGGTGCCGCCGCACAGGCTCAGATTCTGCTGGGTAGGGGCTTGTCAGCTCTGGCTCCGGGAAGAGTGAACAATAAAGCCGGAGTAGCCACCCCGGTCGTTATTTCCCCAGGTCTAATAAAGTGGGGCTCGCCGCCGTTGCCGCCCCCTGCCAGGGGTCGAATAACGGTTTGCAAAATGGGGCGACATGGGCAGAATCTCAGGACTGTGTGGCCGTTGTTGCACCCCCGTCGATGTGACGTTAGTTTTTCATTTGCCAAATTGCTGGTTAGTTGCAAAGCCTGCTTTCGGCCTGGATCTCGAAGGGATGGGAGGGTCCTGCGCCGCGTTTTGACAGGAGGAAGTGCGGAGGGGCGGAGGGCGAGGAGGGCGTGATCCAGGCTGTCTAGTGTGTGCGCGCGTGTGCCTTCACACGCACCCAGAGCCCTGGGTTGCACGATGAGAGAGAAGAATGGCAGGTAGACCCCCGAAACGCTTCGCCTCAGTCTCCTTTCTCTGGACGAGGTTCCCGATCTTGCAAAGTGCGAACAATAGGGAGCTGGGAGGAAGACAGTAGTGATGCTGCCATGGGTGGCGGGGGCTGGGCTGCCGCCTAGCGAACCTCCAAGGCCGGCAGAAAGATTCTTTTCGTTTTGGGTGTTTCCATCCCTGCCTCCCGGAAAGATTCTTACGTGCGTGCCCACCCTCCCCTCCAGCTGCTTCTCCTTCCCCACCCCAGGATTTGCGCTTAGGCACTGATGGACGGGAAGAGGGAAGAAAAGGAACCGGGACCGCAGAGAGCTGGGGTGGGGTGGGCGGACGTTCTCAGAGGGGGGCGTGTGCTAGGAAATACCCTAAGAAAGCCGGGCTGAGGGAGCAGTCTGTCGCAGTCGCCGCTGCCAGGTGTCACTGAAACTGCCTTGAGTTGGCTGAGCCTGGCTTGGGGAGCTCGCGGGGCGGGCATGGGAGCACCCAGCACACCCCCTCCCCAGGAGGCAGGGAGCAGCGCTCGGCCACCGCCTCCAGCCTACTCCGTTGCCTCCCATGGCGGCCAATCAGAGCGAGGCTGCCTGGGCGGGAAGCCGAGAGAGGCTTTTATTGCGGCGCGGGTGGTGGCCAGGAGCTACCAGGACAGTCTCCCGGTGTTCCAGCCTAACGGTCTCGCTCATCTCCCGCTCCAGGAACCCCGCCCTGCGGCCGGTCCCCCGCCCACCTCCCTCGCAGTTTCCAAGGAAATAAAATGGAGTCTAGGTGGTCTCCGGGAGGTGCTAGCTCACTCCCGCCTCTTTCACGCCAAATTGGAGCAGCCCTCCCGCCCTCGCCATCACACAAATTTGCGCCCGCGTCGACCTGGCGGGAGCCAGTAGCCTTGGAGCGCAAGGTAGCAGGGCGCACAGACGCGCGTGCGCTGACTGGCTTGCCCCGAGCTGGGGCGATGCTGGGGGCGGGGCGGGGTGGGCGGGAGCGAGAAGGCCCCAGCAGGAGGCCGCCCCCAGCAGGAGGCCAACCTCGGTGTGCTTACCGCAAGGTCCTCAGAGCCACCTGACTGAGGGTTGCTCAAGGAATGCCCTTTCCCTAGTGCCCACAGGTCTCCGCGGCACGACCTGTGGAAAGGGCGGGGGAGGGGTGTTTCTGAGACCTCCTCCCTTATAGGTGGTGACGAGACAGTGGAGCCCTAATCTTTGATAGGCCCTCGGGGGCTCACTTAGCGGTTCTTTCCGTCATGGCGATGGGTGTAACCCTCAGTGTTTGGATCCCCAGTGAGTTGCTGGGGTGCACGCCCAGGGAATCCCAGATGAGGATGTTCTCTGCTGCTGAGGCAAGGGTGACATTTTGACCCATGGTCCCTGAGAGGAAAGTGTCCTCATTCCTGACCTTAGACCCAAGATGATAGGACGAAGGCAGACCAGGAAACACATAAAAGGTTGCTTGAGAAAAGAAAGAAGTTGAGTGGTTTTCCAAATAGAAATACTTATTTCTACCACAGTTAAAACAAAAATGGAAGAATTCCAGTCAAAGGGTCAGTAGGAAAATAAAAACAGTACACACACACACACACACACACAGATTTGGCTTCAAATGTTGTATCATCTTCAGGGACAAGGTGGCTCAGCCTCTCTCCACTTGGTGTATTTGACAATTTAGATATAATGTGTGCTAACTTCATATAGCAAACGAATTAGCTCTGCTGCCCTGCTTGTTTTGGTGTTTTCTGTTCTTCTAGGAATAAAGAGAAAGGCTGTGGAATTAACTGCATTTCTGAATGTTTTGTGGAAAAATTATTTGATTGAATGATCTGGAATGGCTGTTAAGTCATATTTCTTTGATAAATTTACAATCCTCTGCCAATTTAACTTGCAAGAGTCAAGGAGTGGATAGGACAGGTTTTTAAACAAAGAGCACCTGTGCTACTTTTTAAAGATAGCTAGTGCATAAGTGTATAAGAGGGGACCCCCCCAAAACTGGAATTTATTTATACTAAAGTATGTATTTATTCTTACATGTTTAAATTTCAGTCACCTTCACAGTACTCTCCATTTGATATAATACACCTATCAAGATGCTTTTTTCCACCACTCAGAACAGTTTTGAACTTGTCAATTTTGATGGCTTTTAGAGCTTCTGCCGTTTTTTGTTTCACCTCTTCCATGCTGGCAAAACATTTCCCTCTGAGGACTTTTTCATCCAGAGAAACAAAAAAAAGTTGCTCTGGGAGAGATCAGGAGAATAGGGAGGTTAGGGCACAGGGGTCATGCCATTTTTGGTCAAACACTGCTGAACACTCAGCGTGTTGTGGGCAGGTATGCTGGTAAATTACCCATCATGGAATGGACAAATGGATTGAAAGAGTCTTCAAAAAAACTTCACTTAAATTGAATGCAGCCTCTCACAACAACACCAGCTGTTGCACCGATACAGATGGGTTCCTAGAACACTCACTTAGCTGGGGAAGCTTGTACTATTAGGGGCTCACCCTACAGAAGATAATTCTGTTTTGGGGGGTCCCCCTCATATATAGAATATATATAATACCCCTCACTAAACAAATAAAGACATGTTTCAGCAAAGTTTGCAGTGAGCACAATTATGGTGAGCTGTATTTTTTGTTGGTTTTCATTTTAAGATCAGAAATGTGTCTTTCTGAACAAAATTTAACAGAATGTGGTGAAGCCATATTTAAGAATGTGGAAAGCCTTTCACAACTCTATCCAAAAACCAAAAAATTAATTTTCTTTCAGTAAATAGTCAGGATATATTAAAATACTGAAAATAACTTACAGCATATAGAATTCAGAAGAGTTAAACAAAAACAATGATTCAGACATTGTGGAAGTGTGGCCTCTCGTTCATTTGATAGTTTTTGAGTTACTCTTTCCACTACTATTTTCTAAAGATCTACCAAGTGGGCTAAGTTTTCATTAGCCTAAAACTTATATAGTTTTTTTAAGTCAAGTTTTAAAAAAGTTCTCTTCATTTTTTCTCAGTAGATTGAACCTGTTGACTTCTTTCCAGATATCTTTACCCAGGATCTATCTTTTCAAAACAATAATGTTAGAATAGCAGAAAATAGCAGGGCATTTCCTTGTTCAGCAAAGGAGGTTCATCCAAGGTTCTATGTCAATTAATTGAACTAAAAATTTCTTGCCTTAACTGGTGACTGTTTCTTGACCTTGGTATTTCAAGAATTAAAGTAGTAATTGTTTGGAGAAAATGTATGGTGTGGGTGTGCTCTTCACAAGGGCTCTCTTTGGATGCTTACCCAAAGCAACAGCAAGAGGGAGAGATTAGTTACATGGAACTCCCCCAATTCTAAGAGTTTTGCATAATGCTTCTGTTTGGAATACATTAAACCTCAGATAGGTAACATGTAATTTAATGTAAGTAATCTGTATTATATATTTCTGTCACAGGAAACAATGTCTTAATTGCCTTTCAAAATAAATAGCACCATTTTGTCATTCAGAAGGTAGTCGTTAGACACAACAGATGTTTTTGTTCACTGCAGAACTCAGTTTCTTAAATTACAGCATCTTGTAAACTTGACACTGCTTAAAATATGGATTTTGGAATTTTTGATCCAACCACTTAATTTTTAAGGTGACAAAGCCTCTATTTAATATTAGTTTGATGAATTCCCCGTATTTACATCTTCAATGTTAAAGAATTGTGGCTGCTCTCTGGACTGACAGTGACTTCAATGCCACTGGCTGACCTTCAAAGATATTTTACCAACAGTCCTTCCCGTCTTAGTGTAAAGTAAGTGACTGACTACCTGTTTCTAAGAACAGTTAGAACTTTCTCTGCCAATATTGGGTTTGTGGTGATTGAGGGCAGAACCGATTGCCAGGGGAGGGAGAGAAAGGGACCGACCACACCTGCCACCATCAGTCTTATGGGAGCAGCCAGACTGGGAGACAGAGACAAAGGCATTTGAAAAAGGCTCTCCTGTACTATTTACATATTGAGTTTTTAAGTACACAAATATTTACTTGTGTCATAATAAATATTTTAATGTAGATTACATAATTGATAATTTTTTTTAGTTTAGTAATCTAACAAATACATAGGCTAACAGTTGTCTGGAACTTTAAAAGAAATGGCAGCAAATTACAAATGGTATTTTACTAATTTTAAAAATGGGTAACAAATTAGACAGAATTAAAAACAAATC